TTGCAATGTTTAAAAACAATGAGGATTGTGGTAATTTGTTACAGCAGCAAGGGGAAACTAATTCAAGGGGAAATGCATAAAAATATATGAACTTACATAAACTGTTTAAGTAGAGAATAAAATAAATGCGAGAATTCCATTCTAACTGATCTGTAAATATCTTAGTAAATATACGTTTTCATCATTCAGAAATATCTACTCTAAGTATGAGACACACCAAGTCCGTAAAACAGCTGTGTGTAGACTTAGTGAATATTATACAGTAGTCCAGGCAAGGATATTAAAGGAAGTGGTCGGGATCAGTCCCGGGCAGGCGGCGGGGTGCGCGGCCGCCGAGGTTGAAGGGACGGTAGCAGATGTTGCAGTCCAGCTCGCCCCGCTCCGGGAGAGAGGGCACCCTCACCAAGAGCTGCATCGTGCCTGCCGCGGACTCGACGGCGTCGCTAATGCGGCAGGCTCCGTAGACAAAACGAGGGGACCCTTCTATGGCTTGGATCGGGTCCTGGGGCCGGCGCCGCGGCCTCTCGGCCCTTTTAGTAGTGAGGCCCCGCCCTTCGAGGCGTCACGCAGTGGCCGGGCCGCTCCCTGCGGCGGCACGCGTGGGGGCGGTGGAGGCGCGAGGCCGGGAATGACAGCTATGGCCGAGCGCGGAGGAGGCAGCCTGGGCGATCCTAGGACTGGAAGCCTGGCGGCAAACCACCCATTCCTCCCTCACCTGCCTTTCTCCACCCTCCAGCACAACGCCAGCACTATTTAATCCTATCGTGTGTAAATCCCGAAGTCCCCTCCTGCGCCTCAACCCTCGGTCACTGGCACAGGTCTCTGAAGTCCCCTTGTCCTATTTGTACAGTTGCTCAACTCTTTCACAAACCCAGCCAAACAGACTTACTAAGCCAGTTTCATTGCCCATGCTACCCAACCTTTAGTGGGCTCCTGGCCTTTGGATCGATTTTGTCAATTCTTCTTATACATGACCTCTGTGTTCTTGTAAGACTGGCTTCCCAAATTTCATTCTCCCCAAACTGCTCAACATCTCAGTCTAAGGAAGGACCTAGATTCTAGGACCATGGCCTTAGGAATGCTAGGAATCCTTTCCTTCTGGAGCATCCAGGCCTGGACACCCACACATCAAGATGGCTCCAGCAAAGCATCCCAGCATGAGTTCTGACTCAAGGGTCGGACTTCCCCCACAGGTAAACAGGATATGGTACTCACGACCCACATTCCCTCATCCTACCACACCTACCTACAACCAGCTGTCTCCTGGTGCGCCTCTCCTGGACATGCAGCCCAGGTTCTATTGTGGAGGGTGACAGCACAGTCTAGAGCTAGCTGGCTTGACTTCAAATCCTAGCCTCCACCACTTATGAGTTGTGACACTTTGAGCAAGTTACTAATTTCTCTGGGTCCCGATTTCCTCATTTATAAAATGTAGATAATAGTGAGGAGGATTGAATGAGCTTATATGTGTAAGGTGCCTAAAATGGTGTATACAGTATACAGTAAACACTAGGTAGGTACTGTGTTAGCTATTACTATCCTGTGCCCTCAGCCAATATTGTGTTCACTTTAACTTCTCAGTACCTGATATTTTCAACCCCTATCTTTCTTGATCAATACATACAAGACGGGCTTCTCTACACACATGGCATCTACTGGCAATCACAGGCAATGTAGAACTGTTTTGTTTTGTTTTTTTTTGAGTTGGAGTCTCACTTCGTCACCCAGGCTGGAGTGCAGTGGCACGCTCACGGCCACTGCAGCCTCGACCAGCTGGGCTCAGGCAATCCTTCTGCCTGTCTTCCAAGTAGCTGGAACCACAAGTAGGTGCCACCAAGCCTGGCTAATTTTTTGATTTTTTGTAGAAATGAGGTCTCAAATTGCCCAGCCTGGTCTCAAACTCATGGCCTCAAGCAATCCTCTCACCTTGGCCTCCCAAAGTGCTGGGATTATAGGCATGAGCCACTGCACCCAGCTTCTGGTGTTTTTTTTTTTTTTTTTTTTTTTAACTAAATTGTTAAATTTAGAGAGAATCTTTTGTGAGGAGGTTTACCCTCTATTTTTAAGTAAATGTTTCAGAAATTTTTAATTGTATTGTCTTCATGGTCACTTGGGAGAAGGTGTCTACTTATTCCAGAGATGCTATCATAATTCAAAACGTGTTCGTTTTAAAAACAGACTGGTAGATATCTATTGTTAATAAATACATGATAGAGCAAAATACAAAAGACTATAAGGAAATAACTTTACCAAGCAGCTTCAAGGATCAATCATACCCTCGATGGTAAGCATTCTTTTTACTTAGGGCTACTGATCGAAAATTTTCAGACAGGAAGGCCTAGGATCCAATACCAGTCCAGCATTAACAAATGTAAATATAAGATTGCTCATAGTTATGGTCCACCTTCACAGGAAATGAGTTGGCCCAAAACTTTTTTGGAAATTCCTTTTGAACGGTATTCCTCACATCTTTTGATATCTCCAATTGGTGATAAATCCTGTTCTTTCTAGGTACTTCTTTATGTGGTGGTCAGTACCTACCTAGTGTTTACTGTATACTAGGCACCATTTTAGGCACCTTACACATATAAGCTCATTCAATCCTCCTCACTATTATCTACATTTTATAAATGAGGAAATCAGGACCCAGAGAAATTAGTAACTTGCTCAAAGTGTCAGAACTCATAAGTGGTGGAGGCTAGGATTTGAAGTCAAGGTAAATGCTCCCAAAGTGTTTGATAGCCAAAACCTTCTATATTCCAGATCTCAATCACTTGTTTCACAGCCCTTGTTGTTTCATCCCCAAGAACCCAAAACTATGATCTCGCTGCCCAAATCAGCATTTCTTCTAGTTTCCTACCCTTACCTTTGCCCACCTCCATAACCATAGGTGCCATCCATGACCCCTTCCTCACCCTCACTTTCCTTTACCAACCCATCACCAAGCCCAGTTTATTTTATTTTTCTTTTCTTTCTTTTTTTTTTTTTTGAATTGGAGTCTCGCTCTGTTGCCCAGGCTGGAGTGCAGTGGCTAGCTCACGGCCACCACAGCCTCAACCTGCTGGGCTCAGGTGCTCCTTCCACCTCAGTCTTCCAAGTAGCTGGAACCACAGGCATGTGCCACCATGCCCAGCTAATTTTTTTGATTTACTGTAGAGGTGAGGTTTTGCCAAGTTGTTCAGTCTACTCTCAAACCCCTGGACTTTAGCAATTCTCTTGCCTCCACCTCCCAAAGTGCTGGGATTAAAGTCGTGAGCCACCACACCTGGCTTATTTTGCCTCTTAAATCTCTCTCTAATCCACCTATATACTTCTCTCCACCTCCAGCACAACCCTTAGTCCAAGCTGCCACCATCTCTTGTATAGACTCCAGCAGGAGCCTCCTAATCAATCTCCACAAGCATTCTGGCATTCTGCAGGCTTCTCTCCACATTGTTTACAGTGATCTTTCCATATCTCAAACCCAATCATGTCCTACCACACTCTCCTTCCACTCCTATTTAAAGCCTTTTAATGTGTTAGTTTAATGGTGGCCCCAATTTTTTTTGCAACATGTATTTGTGGCTTCTCCCATCAAGAATTGAGGTATCTTTTCCTAGCTTTGGCCAATAGACGTGGCAGAAGTGATGGGTGAGTTCTGAAGCCTAGTCCTTCAGAGAACTTGCAGCTTCTGCCTTTATCTCCTTGGAATACTCCCCTGAGACCACCATATAAAGAAATAGGTTTAGATCACTGGTGGAAGGGGCCATATGGAGTAGGAGAGAGGAGCCCCAGTCAATAGCCAGCACTGCCAATTATGCTGTGAAGTCATCTTGGTTCTTCCTGCTCAAATGACATGATGGCTGAGTGCAGCCACATGAGTAAGCCCAGATGAAAACAGCAGAGGAGGCTGGGCGTGGTGGCTCATGCCTGTAATCTCAGCACTTGGGTAGGCTGAGGTGAAAGGATTGCTAGAGACCAGGAGTTTGAGACCAGCCTGAGCAACACAGTGAGGCCTTGTCTCTACAAAAAACTAGCTGGGCATGGTGGCACACACCTGTAGTCCCAGCTTCTTGGGCCACTGCACTCCAGTTTGAGTGAGACCCCAACTCAACAAACAAACAAACAAGAAGAAAGCAGCAGAGGAACTCCCAGCCAGACCACAGAATCATTAAAAAAATGTTTAAACTGGGCGTGGTGGCTCTTGCCTGTAATCCCAGCACTTTGGGAGGTGGATGCAAGAGGATTGCAGGGGTTCAAGATCAGCCTGGGCAATTTGGAGAGACCTTGTCTCTATAATAAATCAAAACATTAGCTAAGCATGGTGGCACGCACCTGGAATTCCAGCTACCTGGAAGACTGAGGCAGAAGGACTACCTGAGCACAGCAGGTAGAAGCTGCAGTAGCTGTGATTGTGCCACTGTACTCTGGCCTGGGTGTCAGAGTGAGATTCTGAGTCGGAAGGTCTTTCATAAAAAGAAGAGAAAACTGAAGCCAAATCTCTGGGTTCTAAGGAATGTGGTGACTGAAGGAAGAAAACTGGGGCCTTGGGTATCTGGTATCTGGGTCCTTGATGAGAGCTTTGACTAGGAGTCCAATGCCTGGGTCACTGAGGTGAACGAGCAATGGAGAGAAAGCTAGTGGTAAGAGCTCTCTAATGGCAGGAGCTGAGGGGGCCAGGAATGTGACACCACGACGCTAACCTCCCAACTCCCTGCAATTTCAGACACTGTGAGGATCAAGCTGAGATTTTATTTACAGTTCCCTGGGAAGTCTTACAGAAGAGGGGCCATCATTATTGCTTTAGGGTTATTGCCAGGAGGAAGACTGTTATCCTCTACTGCCAGGTAGAAAGTCCTGCTCAAGGCTCAAAAGTCTATCCCTAGACCTTTTTCGCCTGCCCCATGTCTCTGCCCATGACCCAAAGGCTGTCACAAATTCCTGCAAAGCATAGGCCAAGTTTGTTTTCTAAGGACCACCCTGACCATTTTGCCAGACTATGTTATACATCTATCACATTCCCCTCTACCTTTGTCAGTGCTGTATAGTCCCCACACTTACCGCCCTCCCTGATCTCTGGGCTGGGAGGTGGGGTCCTGGTTTCCAAAAGAGTATCATTTATTTCCTGCCAGGACCAGCCTGACTTCCTTTATATCAAATACCCCAAGAGCCCCATTTCCTATGTTCCAGGTGACATCACAACTAACTTATTAGGTTATTACTCCTTTCAAGCATCCCTTTTGAGGTATTCTGCATGTTTCTTATATCTGCTGGGGTTGTGTGTGTGTGTGTGTGTGTGTGTGTGTGTGTGTGTGTGTTTTCTTCTGGGCCTTGCGAATAGGGGGAAGAGAGAAGGGAGCGTGATCAAGTGGCAGAGAGCAAATACCAGTAGCTCATACCCAGGACTTGCAAGAAGGCCTAGAAGGATGCAGCAGGGGCAGGCGTGCTACTTTCTCTCTCAAGCCCCACTGTAGAAGGATATGGCTTTGTTCATGCGAATCACTACTCAAGCTGGGACTCGTTGGTGGGCGGGGCTACCCTTGCTCTGGCCGCTGCGTGAGGAGGGATCCGAAGCAGGAGTGAGGCTGCTGAGGGAAGGCGGTTCTCAGGAGAGTGTAGCGACTCCTGGTTGGGTCCCTGGGCCTCAGACATACTATTTCTTGGAATGTGGCTTGGTCCCCAGGAGTCCATCTATCTCCATCACTGTCTGTGGAGTTAGCTGGCTCAGCACCTGAAGGAGAATGGGTGGTGAAGAAGGCCCTACATGCTGGTTCATTGAGGAAGGGCATGGGATTCCAGGGCCCAGGGAAGCACCACAATGGGGCCAACTGGCAAGGAAGGAGTCGCAGCTGTGCCTCTGCTTTGCCTTGTGGCCCTAGGACCTGCAAAGTGAAGACTATAATGGGTGATCTCACAGGACCATTCTAGGTTGAACCACATGGTCTTGACTCCTGGGGAAGGGGACAGAGATAGGCTGTGCCTCTTAGTCTCCAGCTCACCTGTAGAGCACCCAGGTGTTCTATCAGCTGCTCTGCACTTGACACCCCCAGCAAGACTGAGCTGACACCCTCACTGCGGAGACACCATGCTGGGGCCAGAGGACAAAAAAAAGAGAACTGATGGGGAACAGTGAGCACATAGACTTCAGAAGTGTTTCTGAAAAAGAAGACCCTCCCTAGGGACAAACCAGTATGAGGATAGGTTTGGGAACATCTCAGGAGGAGACAGGGCCCCTGCAAGGTTCGGGGCTGGCAATGTCTCACCAATAGCAAGCTGGGCCACAGTGCAGCCCAGTTGGTGAGCGATGGGAAGAAGGTCCATGACCTTGGCTTGCTGCTTCTTGCCATCTTCGCTTTGCACTTTGTCCTTGAGCCAATGGTAGCCCTGGAGGCCAAGGAGAATCAGCAAAAGACACCACCACCACCACCATACACAGACACAGCAGCAGCCTGGATAGGCCAGTCCTGCAATCCTGAGCCCCCTCCAGATCTCACCTTGATGGTGGCCTTGCAGGTATCTGGGGCTCGCCCATCGTACTTGCTAGTAATGAGGCCACAGGCCAGAGGGGACCAGGTGACTGAACCAACACCTAAGAGGAAGAAAATTGGGTATCAGGAAAGGGACCTAGGCCATGGATGGGGCTGAAGGAAAGGTAGGAATAAGGGAGCTGCGAACCAATTTTGTGGTAGAGCTCTGGCAGTTGCATCTCCACCTTCTCCCTCTGAAACAGGTGGTGTTCTGCTTGTTCACATACTGGAGGAATCAGATTAAACTGTCTGGCCATGGAATAGGCCTCCTGGGTTGGGGTGGGAAAGAGATGGAGGTCAGAGCACGTCTTCCATTTTCTTTCTCACCCTTTCCCCCAGTGCAGTAGCCATGTGAAAAGTAGCAATCAGTTGTGGGACGGGGGAAGTAGGGTTACTACTCACCATGATTTCTGCAGCTCCCCATCGGGATGTTCCCCAGTACAGGGCCAGGCCCTGGTTGATGACATAAGTCATGGCTCGCACAATCTCTAGGCACACAGGAGAGGAAGAGCCTCACTGTCAGATCCCTGGAATCTAACGTTCCAGATCTGCAGACCTCTGCCTGCCCCACCAAGATCCTAGGTATCTCTATGGAGTCACAGAGGTTCGTATCTGTTCTTTGCCTCCCACTCTGTCCAAAGTCCTGGGGTCTAAGCCTACACTGTGGTGCTTGGGAGGCCTTCTGAGCAGGGGCTAACTTCCTGCTGAGAGCTTGAGGCAGAGCTCCGTTTTGAAGCACTGTCGGGTTTGAGGGTGCTGCCCTTACCCTCCATAGGACTGTTGGGGTCTGAGCGATTGGCAAACACGATGTCCACATATCCCAGCTGGAGGCGTTCCAGGGATCCTCGTAAGCCTGAAGGTAGAGTGGGGAGAGGAAGATAAGCACCTTAGCTTAGGTTTACTAAGAAGTCAGACCAAGCCAGGCTCGGCGGCTCAGCCTGTAATCCCGCGCCTTTGGGAGGCTGAGGTGAGTGGATTGCCTGAGCCCGTGGGTTCGAGACCCATCTGGGCAGCGAGACCTCATCTCTACAACAAATCAAAAAATCAGCCGGGCGTGGTAGGGCATGCCTGTAATTCCGGCTACTCAGAAGGCTGAGGCGGAAGGATCGCCGGAGCCCAGCAGGTCGAGGCTGCGGTGGCCGGGAGCGGCCACTGCACTCCAGTCTGGGCGACAGAGTGAGACTCCGACTCAAAAAAAAAAAAAAGAATTCAGACCTTATCCCCTTGCCATGGCCACCTAAATTCCCATTCAAATCCTCCAGTTCAGAGCCTCACAGAACTTTCCCCACTCCTCTGGCTTCCATACCCCATCACTTCAGGTTCCTAGCCCCTAAGTCTCACCCTCAATGATGTGTTTGCGGCTCAAGCCTCGCTCAGTTTCTGCCCTGTAGGAAGAGGTAAGTCAAAGATGAGGCATGACAGATAGGGGACTAGGGCTGGCCTGGAGCCATGAGGGACTGAGATTGCATGGTCCTCACAGGCAGTTTTTCTCCTCAATCATAGTGGGGCAGTCACTTACTGTCCTCCCCAAAAAATCTTGGTGGTGATGACATAGCTTGATCTCCTGGAAAAAGAGAAAAATGGGAGAACCAGCAAGAAAAGGATTTTTGGATGATCAGGTCCCCAGCAACCCCTCAAAACACACTCTCACCTCCAACCTTTGCTCTTGAGGATGTTGCCTAGGGTTCTTTCAGCTCTAAAAGAAAGACAATGCAGAGGCACTGACTCCTCCAAGTTGGATCAATTCCTTTCCCTCCTCCCCACCTTTTCCTCTCGTAAAGTAGAGCATAAACCAGGACCCCATTTGGGCTTTCAGCCCCATCCTGGACTAAATAAAAGGGATTTCTGGAAGAAGGGATATATTAATATAGTTTCATTTATTCATTCAACAGATATCTTTTGTGCACCAACTATGTATTGAACCTCATCGTGGATGCTAACAGAATAGAATAGGATGAGAGGAAAGGGGCAGACTGTGGTAGAGTCAGGGAAGACACTGTCTTGTCTAGCTTCTGGGTTTCCCTTCTCCTTCTGACCCTTTGCAAAATCCTACCCATCCTCCAAAGCTCAGCTTGGATTCTGCCTCATCCATAATGTATTCTCTGATTGTCACAATCTATAGTCAGTCCTTTTTAGCTTCCGTAGAGTTGGCTACACAATTCTTTAGCACATAATTATGAGCTAACTTGTGACAAGTCTTAAATTTGTATGGTGGACTATTACTAAAATGTTTTACCATTGTTTAATCATTCCTATCTTCCTTTTTATCTACTCAGACTGCACTTGAGACCATGTAGATTTCATTCCAAAGCAGTGCCTGCTCTCTGCTAGACTCTGTGTAGGCACTTGGGAAAGAGCAAGAAAAGTTCCATGAAAGGATGCCGCTGAGTTGAGCAGCTAATATGGCTGCATAAACCAGCAATTAACAGTGTGTCAGAAGGCAGAATATAGTGTTTTGGGAGCTCAGAGTGGTAGGGTGGGGGAGAGTTGACCAACTCTGAGGAAGGCTTCTTGGAGGAGCAGACATTTGGGTCAAGTCTTCAAGATGAGTGGAAGTGTTTGCCAGATAGAAAAGGGGCAGAGGTAGGTCATCACAGGTTTTCCCTACTCCCAGTGTGAAACCATGAGTGTGTGATATGTCATGGTGTTTGAAAATTCAGCTTTGTGGCTGGGCTTGGTGGCTCAGCCTGTAATCCCTGTGCTTTGGGAGGCTGAGGTGAGTGGATTGCCTGAGCCCGCGGGTTCAAGACCCATCCAGGCAACTTGGTGAGACCTCATCTCTACAATAAATCAAAAA